ATATTACCGATTCTTACTTGTGTAAAAGTGTATTAACATGTTTTTCTGTTAAATATGCTCTGTTTGTTTGGATAATTCCACAGGAACCGTCAACAGCGCACTTGAATAGATGATGTGCGATATCATGTAATACTTCACACTGCACACAGTATGTGTGCATTTTTATATATATTTATCGCTTTAAGCAGTGTTCTCATGTCCTAAATATAAACATTTTATTCTATTTATAAATATAAACAAAAATCGGGTGCGGGAAAAAGAAGTAGTGTAGACAGAAATGCGAGGGGGGTGGTAATTTTTACAATTACTCTGTCTTATGATTCAATCAGATATTAATGAGCTCTAAGACTGAAACAATCATATGTATTATGCCTAAATCAGGTTGTTACTCTTATCATTTTCCTAATAAGGTCAGAAAAAAGTTTTTTTTTATTAATAAAAGAATTAATAAATGAATGTAGAATCATCATGAGCATTTCTAATGCTTCTGCTTAAATGTTTAATGAGCTCACTAAGCAGTGCACTTACATATTGTACATGTATGTTTGGTGTATTGTGAGTTATGAAACATACGTTTATCTTGTCATTTTATTCATTACAGAAAATGGATTGTCTGCACTCATGCGTCATCGCAGTACAAGGATTTCAACCTAAAACATGTAAAAAGTATGTATTACATGTATTTTATTTTTATCATGTATTTTTACATGGTCGTTAAAATACATAAACATCATTATCTGAGATGACGTGACATGTCTGCAGTTACTCCGAGCAAAGTGATTTTCTTCTTTCAAAAATATTGAGAGTAAAACTAAAAGAAATGTTGAATTTTTCTGGTCATCATGTTATAGTATCATAGATTTTCATATTCAAATTTCAAGACCAAAAAAAAAAAAAAAAAACCAAGAAAAAACATTAAATAGATAAAAACAAGCAGAAATAGAGAAAAGTAAGTTGACAAGATAAAATGAATTATAATCTACAAGTAAATTATGTTGAATAATTTTTGACTGAAGTTGCAGTTTAATATTTTATTATTCATGATTTCTATATGCATTACTTTTGGGAGAGAAAAAGGTGAAATTGTTCATGAAATATGAAAGATAGTCACAATCAAAAACATTTTAAACATGTTAATTATGTATGAAATGTGTATGACAAAATTTACAATCAACATGTCTATTATTTCATTTTATTTTTTTTTTTTTTTCAGGAAACCCTGGACATTTACAGCTGTACAGAATGCAGTTCATGCCATATGCTGTTAGAGTAAATGATGAAAGATGTTCAAACCAGTGTCACGGAGTCCTAAGTCTGAAATCATGGTGTTTTTATTAAGGAGATCAGTGTGTTTTCTGTGCATTGTTGACATGTGAAGAACTGTTTGGTTTATGACCATCTCTCTGACAATAACTCTGACATTTGAATTTCAATTTGAGCGACAGTTAAGAAAGCCAAGTTATATGCATGCAAAACATTATACAAGTGTAATAAAAACATTGATAAACTTTAATTTAACCAAAGTTCATGTACATGTATCTGTGATCTTAGCATTGAAATTCATAAATGCTGTACATGGAGACTTTTAATGACTGTCTCATGGTAATGGAATATTCAATTGTTAAACATTGTTAAGGAATCACCTTGAATAAAAATATTGTGAACTTGAATAAGTATTTTTCCTCATTTAGAAACTGAAAATTTTAAGATCAAATGTCAAGGTCAAATACAAAGTTTACTCAAGAATGCGGTATAAATGCTGTAAGTATTGTGAATTCTTACACATGTTTTGTAAGATCTAAGGAACGTGTGAAGCATTTTAATATTTCTCAATCTGACACTGATTAACATTCAAGATCAAAGGTCAAATATAAACTTGTTTTACTTAAGACTGAGTTATACATGTTTAAGATTTGAATTCTGAATTTCACATGCATGTTTTATAAGATCTTAGAAACAAGTGTGACCTCACTACTATATTTATTAATGTCAATCTGTCAACCAATATCAAATTTAGAAAAAATATTCTATTTAACATAAATTATTAAATTTTCACACATAAAAAAAATTGAAAATTGAAACACATTTGTACGGTGTTGAGCTGACCATATAAAGTGAGGAGAAACTGAAGTGAGATGAAAAAATTAACAATTAGATTATCTTGAATTTAGCAACTATATATTTTGCATGTTTTAAAAATATCAAATGTAATTACGGTATATATGATGAACTGAAATTTAAAAAAAAGAATAAATTACTGAATTTAAATACAAAAATCATACAATTAATATTGATATAAGACAATTTCACATTTAAAATGTGTGAAATGTGAACGTCAAGATATTCTAGATCTACATTTGATTTGTCTGTTTGGTCTAGTCATATCTTCTTTTTCAGAATTGCATACAGAAAAACCTGTTACACAGGCACAGTTAGACTAGATCTATACATGTACATTCATGTTATTTTCATGGTGCTTAGTTTAGGAAAAAAATAAAATTTTACATTAAACATATACTTAAACATTATTACTATATACAGTGTAGGCATACGATTTTTAAAAATAAATAAATATTACGCGTTGGACGCAAGTCGCGATCCCGGGTCTCATGAATATTGTAAGTAGGAAATTAAAAACACTAAGTATATTTTTCTTTAATTCTTCTGATAGGCCAATTTCTTTTCATATGTTTCCAAAATCAGTATTTGTCCACGTGTAATTACGATCTGTTTGTTAACATTATTTTTTAACATGGTTATGATAATCGTCAATTTAATTTGTGCGGAGCGGTTAGTCGGGAATTATGGAATGCCGATCTCGTTTATTTTTCTCCATTAAAATATATAACATTTAATTTAATACCATAAATATATCTGATTTTATTTTATTTTCCGGTAATTCCTTTTTTTCGTTTTGTCAATTTAATTCCTAAATATTAAAAAAACTGAGAGTTGCAGGATAGGATAGGATAGGATTAGACTGAAATCACAGGATAGGATTGTGGATGCAGGATTCACGATAGGATAGGATATAATTGTCAACTTATAGGATAGCAGCACTGTAACCGTATCTTCAACTACAAGATATTCACTTTCTTTACAATGTCCTTACTCTGTCAATTACTTTCTTTTGGTACTCTGATCCTAATTTATTTTGCATGTTGAGCAAGAAAAGACCTCCCCCTTCTGATTCTTGTAGATGGCTTATCACTGCCAGTTTTGTAATGCTTTTGTTACGTCCAATCCTCTCAGCAGGACTACAAGAGTTATCACCTCTATTTCACTAAATGTTTTCCTTCAATGTGGCTACAATACATTTAAAATCAAGTAAGGTATGTTAATAAAAACTAAGATAATGAATAATGAAGCAAATGAAAAATTAACTTACCCCTGACGGCAACTGTGGAAACCCTTCGGGTGTTTTGTGTCGTTTTCTATTCAAAACACACTATGTTTAAATATCGTCCGATTGATTTTTTTCAAATACACTAGCTGAAATCCCGCGCAAGTGCGGGGGAAATTAATTTTTTACAGAACTATTCAAAAGACTCTCTTTCAGATTAAATTGACATTTTATTACAGAGGAATACAGAATATAGCATGACGAAATACTTCAAAGTCCCGCACTTAGTTTAGGAACAGAAATATATTTTGCGAATTTTTTTTTACTTCTACAAATATCAATTTCATAAAAGGCCTCTTCTTCTAACATGTTATAAAGCAATTTTATTCTGTTGTACTATGTTATACATCATCATGAACTACATATAAAAAAACTTTTCCCTTAAAAATAGCTTAGTTGTCATCCCAAATGTACATACAGGCCTAAAAGGCGTAAATAAGTTTTAAAAATGAAAGACTGTATGTAGAAAATCAACTGAAATGTGTTCATCAAAGAACACATTTTTAAAGCATATAAGTAAATTACTTAAAAATCTAAACAAATGACATGACCCATTAATCGACATTTATATATAAAACATTAGCACAGCTTAATAGGAAATATTCATAAACTCATTGTGTTATCAATTTCTTTACTTTTAGTTCATATCCATTCATGAAAAACAATCGCCTCGGTTTCCTGTTAGAAATCGATGCCATCTGACTTTCTAGAACTTTCAACAAATAGCGAGATCGGACATTAACGGAAAGGATTTGCTCATTTTGTTTATTAATCGATGACTAAAGCTTCTTCTTTTCATGTCGCTTAAATCAAGTTTTGATTGAATAATTTATAAATGACGTTTTCTGAAATGAATAAGCTCTTGCTGGTTGTAAGTTTTTTTTAAGTGCCAGTTACATAGATCCGCCACCACTTTTCTCTCTTCAGTGCTATTTCGAGGCTGTTATTCGAAAATGAAAGTAAACTTTTAATTAAATTTACGATAATTACTATGTGAATGAAATCTGAATATAGTTTACGGACATCACCTTATACATAGCGTATTCCCACAGGCTTAAGTAAGAACTCTTGTGCAGCCGTTTCAGAATTTATTTGCAAAATTTGTTAATTTATAAGTATAGATTTTCCGAATTTTAATAGTTTTATGGTAAAGAGTCCTAAGTATTTGATAATCATATTTTTTTATAAGCTACGTCGTCCTCTGTCCCGTCCATGGCATTGGAGATTCCGTACTTCTTAAGTGCTTAATGTTCAACCCTCTGGGTAATTTGGTCCATGCCTCTAAAATCCACTCTCGAATGGTTGCTAGTTCCGACTTTCCTTTCCGACCACCCTTTGTATAGCTGTGTTGTCTGCTGATCATCCTGTCCTTCCATTTCCGTCGGAGGCTTGCCTTCATTGGTTTATTAATGCTCACGTCTAAAGGTTGGAGAATGCTTGTCATGCCATGGTCTTTTCCATGTTGTGGCAGCAGAAGATGTCCTTGCTTCAGGTCTTTTCCCCCAAACAGTATTCACCCAGTCCAGCGTGAGGTATTCATCCATCCATCCTCACATGGGTCCTTCAGATCCCACCTCGTGGAAAATTTTGTTTAGGCATGGTCTTCCTCTTGAAGATGTTGAAGGACGGTAGTTTCCCCCATCGGCAGTACAGGCAAGCATCAATGTGAAGCGGTTCTTCTCATTTCCTGATGTCTTTATGTTCACGGTATTTAATCCTTTGGTTTCGATCGTTGTTTAGGGTATGTCGAATGACAGTGGCGTCTGGTCTGCATTTTCGATCTGGTCTAGGGTGAAGTCGTGTCTTTTCGCTGCGTTTTGAAGAATGTCTGGACGTCTGTGACTTTATTTTCATAGTCCTCAGCCAGGTGGATATATTTTTTTCTCAAAAAACAAGAGTTCGGGTAATAAGCCGATCATCGCTGGACCTATGATGTCCGGCTTATGATTCGTTACCTGTAATTAAAAGGTTCCTTTAAAAATTTTCCTTGGCAGAATTTTCACCAAATAGGAATTTACATTGATACTTATGTCAGCATTTCTTCACAAGACATCTATTTTTTACAAGAGCGTGAATGTGCATAAGAGTATGTTTGATTATGTGTATGAATGCAACTTTGGATGCAAGCGTGTGTGTTTAGCTCACACTCGGCGTGACATGTCCCTCCTCTCTAAGCTGTCGTTTTTGAATATCTCTGTTCATCTTCCTCTCCTGTTGTATTCCCTGACAAACCCTCATCAGAATGTTCATCAGTGTCAGAATAACACAATGGCCCGTGATTGGTTCAATTCCTCTTTCAGTTTTTCTTTCTCCATTTCGATTTTTACTGATTTTTTTTAAAGCTTCTATTTTTTTTTTAAGTTTTTCATTTTATTTCAAAACATTTTCAAATTTGCACTCTAGAGATTTAACCGCTGTTTTGTTTTCCATGCAACGGTTTCCTAAAAACCGAAAACAACACTTAATGCTCCATTTATTAAGCCTCTTTAGTAAAGTTAAGGTATTTTTGATAAGCATTACTGAATTATGTACATCGCCTTCAGAATTTTTTTGAAATAATCGATTCTAATCTCAGATTTGTGTCTTCATTAATAGGAGTTATGTTGCAATTGTCACAACCATGTTGCAATTGTCACAACCATTCATGTCTTGACTACTTAAGTCATCTGAAAGAAATAGTCTCCTTGCAGTGTTATCAAACTCCAAGCAAGTTTCCTCTGTGTAATTTTGTGGTACTCGTGCACTCATTTATTTTAGCTGATTGGTAAGTTATAAAGTATCGCCAGTTCCTAGATTAGCATATGAATTTACTCTTAAATAAGAAAATCTTGTTTTGTTGATCTGTTTTGTTGGAAAATGCCAGCTATATTTTACAATTGATTTAAAAATGTGAGCGCATTTAGGTACAATTTGCACCTTTCACATATAGGTATATTTCAAAAAAATACACTGACCAGCCAAAGGAGAAAATTGTATAGTCCTTGAAACGTTCTACTTTCCCATTTTTCCGTTCGCTCACCGTTCGCTTAGCGTGCATTCACCGTTCGCTCTTCGTTTACAGTTTTGCGTTCACCGTTCACTCTTCGTTCCGTTTACTTTCCGTTGTCATTCGGAACTCCGAAGTGAAAGGACTTATATTTTTGATGGTAAAGATTTACACGTAAGGATTTTAAACTTATTTAAAATTAAAATAATAATTTAACATCCATGATTATATTAGTAAAATCTTGATAATATTGCTGATGTCTACTTCCATTAAAATTACTCATGTTCTATCTTTCTAGGTGTCTGATTTAATGATTGGTACAACATAAAGTATTCCGAAGATACTGCAGTTGATACTTATAAACAGAAAATGATCTGGAATCAGGAAGCATGAAAATTAAAGTTTAATAAACTTCCCATTTGTTTCTCCAAGTTACGTACATCAGCTGTAAATTTTGCTATTACTTAAAATTGTGCAAGAAAGATTTAGAGATAACGAACAGTATTCAATCTCAAAGTCCATAAAACAAAACAAAACAAGAGCAGAGCAAAGACGGACCGCCGAACATCAGAGGTGGGATCGGTGCCTTGGAGAGGTGAGCATTCCCTGCTGATCGGTCACGCCCACCGTGTGCTCATTGTCATGATCGTGAAATAACGAAAAATCTGTCGTCAATTCAGTGTATAAATAATGGACTAACAATAAATATTTGTTATAAATATTGATTTACTGTTTAACGAGTGTTATTCTTGATTTTTTTATATAAGCGAAAAATTGGCAGGAAACATTAAATACTACTTAAATTCAAATACCTATACCTTTTTTGTACATTGACCAATCTAAATAACCTTAACACAACTGAAATCCTTGTAAATTGACCATTCTTTAGATATATAACAAATATGGTTTAAAAATTGTTTTAAAAGTTGTGTGTTATTGCTATTAAAAGGTACATGTACAGTACAAATCCTTAAAACTCCATAAAATTGCCAAATGTTTTGTTAAACATTCAGTTTTTGATATCTGTTAAGCTGACTCAAGCTTGACTCAAACATCTTTACTTTACAAAATTTTTTCCCCCTAAAGTAGGGTGTTGCCTTTTTTTGCGTTTCAGTATATCATCAGAAATTTTTTTCTTTCTGGCAACTATTTTCAAATTTATGATTCCTAGTCAACTTTTTCTGGAAATTCAAAAGAAGTCGGTTTACGGTGCATAAAACGGCGATGTAGATATACCAATTAATTGATCAAGACTTGATTTTCTATTTGAAGAATTAAAATAAAATAGAGACTTGGTGCTTTCAATTCTTCTACAATTCTTCTAAAAGTCCAGGTCTAGGAGAAGGGGATTTATGAAATTGCAATGTTCTTGAATTTTTAGGTAAACATGTATAACTGAGTACTTTCAGTGAAGGAAAATAATATGAGCGCACTCTCTGATCTAAAAACATAAAACATGTCCATTAATCATCAGAAAGAGTTCTATCATTTACTAGTTGCATATTTTAGATCAGAGGTTGCGCTCTATATTGAATATCAAAATGTAGCTTTAAAAATTAGCCGTTTTTGTAGACTTTTTAAGAATATGAGGAAATTGGCGCATTTTATGACGTCATCATGCATTGACTAGCCAGAAAATGACGTCATTTTTGATAGATACGCAGTCACCAAACATCTAAGTGATATTTAATACAATTGTTTACTAAAACTATGCATTTTCAGTTTCTCAGAAAATCACAGGGAAAAAATAATGCAAAAGTGAACCTTGTTCTTTATTCAACATATAAAATTAAAGAATTAAACATTAAGATAAATTAAAACGAGGTCTAGATTAAAGAAAAATCAATATTGCAATATTGAAAAAAAAGAAAGAAAATGAATACCTTTATCATGAAGATCAATCTCGTCAAAATCCTTTTCTTTGTACTTCTGGATAGTGCCATTGTTTATACTGTGGAGAAGCTTCGAAAGGTGCAATGCATTCTTTGAAAGTCTGAAGAACTCTCGGTTGACTTGGAAATTGTGCCCTTGGCATGTGGCAAACTTAAGGATGTCCTGAGACGTCTCGCTCAGGTTTGTCGCCAGGATTTTGCTTAGTTTGATGGATCTTATTGCATCTGGGTTTCCTTATCCGGCTTCCTTTGCATACTGTCTGATATCATCTGTCACTGCTCTGGAGAAGACGAATGGTTGTGTAACGTTTGCCTTTGCTCTCATCCTATTACCCGTGGGGATCCGGGTTAGAATTGGTCCTCAGTACCCCTTTGCTTGTCGTAAAAAGCGACTAAATGGGGCGGTCCTTCGGATGAGACCGTATAAACCGAGGCCCTGTGTCACAGCAGGTGCAGACCTGCCTACCCTTCCGCTTTTAGCGTAATTCTTCCGCTTTTTACCACGTAATTCCGCCATTACGCCACGTATATGAATTGTACGCTTTTTTATATTTTGGTTTTAAATTTATTATGAACGTCTAATTTTAGAGTCAAAGTACGACCTGCTGTAATGAAATTAGAATTTTTAGTAAAACTAATTAATAAAGGACTAATCCGATAACATACGCAATTTACCTAGTAGTTATATGTGTACTGGTATGGCGAAGATTTGGAAAAACACGAGAACGCCCTACTTACGTGCACTACATACGTTAACTGTTAAATGATGTATTAAGTACAGCTTGTTCTTTGTTCAATTTAGTTCACTTTAACATTGCTTAGAAGAAGATAGAAAATGCCAGTGTGAAAAAGATGAAATACTGTGTTATTATGTACGATTTGTGTAAATGTAAAGGGAATCCCGGCAATAATAACATGAATAAGTCGAAGAACTTTCTGGTTTCATCATAATTTATATATCAACAATCATATGGCTCTGAAATTAATATAAAATATACAAAAACATTAGAATGGTACAATAAAATATGATAGTAGATATACATAGGAGTCATTATTCAAATAGTGTCATAAATGAATATTTCACTCTATGAAATGTTGTTACACTTTACATGCACAAAGGGCAATAACTTTTACAAGTTAAACATACTTTCCAAAATCGTGAAGAGTAATCTTTCATATATAACCAAAATAATAAAACAGTAATGCATACCGGTTTGTGGAACCAAGTCCATCTGACATACTGTATGGATCTTTTCACATGTTTCAGATATGGTGTTACACTATATTAATAATAAATAAATTCCAAAAGATATGCTCTTTACAATAACTCTGTATTTATACAAAAATACTTCTTATGAAAATATTTACTTATATACATTTAATAGGATCTGAATATACTAACTCATATAGAATTATCAGATTTATCCACATCTGATCTAGACATAAAATATTCTATATACATAGTTTTACAAAGTATCAAATTCTTAGTTTCTTATGTATATCATAATTCATATTCTAATATAGATTAAAATGTTACAATATTAGTACTTACATATTTCTGTACTGTTTCTGTCAGTAAGTCAGTGAGAATTCAAAATAATTCACCAAATCTAGCTCTCTACATGTCTGAAACTCAGATCTTTCAAACTGAGTAAATATCACTCACTAGACAATGTAAAACCCTTTACCAATGAAATGTAAATGTTCAACCAATGAATGAATGTGTGTATGAAATGTATAGGTGGATCAAGAGGGATGGGTGGTAACACTTAATACCTTATTAGTAATAGAAAAAGTTTAGATTTTAATTTATTTAACTATCTTAAATTTATTTTATTTATTTATCATTTATTGAATTATTTAATAAAATATACATCTACTACATAAATATGCAAACGCAAGGCTTTAATTAAGTGATTTGATACAAATTGACCCAATGCTTCATCAAGGGTGTGCAGTTGGTTTGAGTTTAAGGTTTCGTCAAAGGTCAACATGTCCATAAATTTATTTTTACAATAGCCCCAAAACTCTGTAAGGTATAAAGTTAAAACTTTTACAGTTTATAAATTATTTATTGATTAACAGATAGGAAGTATCACTTGATAAAAAAAAATACTTGGAATAATATTAATTGAGAAAAATTCTTTTTAAAAATGCATATATTTTCAAAAAAATACACCTAATTAATTCCATGCTTTTAGTGAAAACCATCATTGCAGAAACAAAATATGTTTATCATTGAAGGGCAAGTTGGACTTGGATAGCCTCTGGAAAGTTGTTTTCCCTGTTTATTTTGTCCAAATGTTAAGACTTGAAAGTGAAAGTACACTGCAAATGGCGGATTCTATAGGGGTCTTGTCTTTATACATGACATGCTTTCAATAACAGCCTTTCAGAGACCATTCACGTCCAACTTGCCCTTCAATGATAAACATATTATTTCTACAATGTTGGTTTCCACAAAAAGGACAGAATTAAGCAGGTGCATTTTTTTTAAATATGCATATTTTCTGATAAAATTTTTCTCAAAAAATATCTTTTTAAAAATATTTGTTATCAAGTAATACTTTCTATCTATTAATCAGTGATATATTTACAAAATGTAAACGTTTTGACTTTATACCACACATAGTTTTGGAGCAATTGTAAAAATAATTTTTTAGACATGTTGACCTTTGACGAAACCTTAATATAAGAGACTGGCATTTTACACTTTTTTGCCAATAGATGATTCGAAAAAGAAACGTTTGTGCAAGCTTTGTCTAGTAATGTACAATTTCGGTTGTTGTGAAAAAATAGAATATTGTAGTAAAACAACAAAATAGGAAAACATGATTGATTACGCTTTTACCTCTGAAATTCCGCCAAAAATGTACTGAAATTACACCCTTGCAATGTATTTTTTATATATAATAAAAAACATCTTGAGAATAATTTACTTTTATGAACAAATTACTTAAAAAAATATGTAGAGTATTTTTTAAACATATAAATATGTAACATTTTTGTTCTGGTCAATTATATTTTCATTAATTTTTCAGCACTTGAAATGTTTTATGCAACATACTTGAAAGAGCTATAAATCTAATTAAAAGCTACTTTTTCTTTGTTTCATATATATTAAACATTCTGAAATTACAGTTTTCATTAAAAAGTGTTCGCATGTTTTGTATAATATTTCTTTCATGAATAATGTTCAAAAAGTAAAAAAAAAAAAACAAAACCTCTTTTGTTTTGTTTCGATGAAGATATTTCCCACTAAAATACTCTATCTTAAAAATAATTCAATTTATTCCAAGTTATGTCAGGCTCTTGTAAATTTTTCAGTGCACAGTTTTTGAATGTGTAAATTTTCGAGTTATCTTTCTGTGACTGTAATATAAAATTCTTTCTTTTCAGGGAATCTAATACATGTACCTCTTCCCCCTCGAGATCTTTTGGGGATTCTGAGGAAGAATGGATTAGACTTGCAGAAGAATCTTTTGAATCGGTCTTCGAGTCAGAGAAAACTGATTTTTTTTAATTTTTATTTATTTTTTTTACCAGTTTTTATAACAAAATATGTTAAATTAAAATATTTATGCGAAAAAACTTAATAAACACGGCAATTCTCCTGATGACCACCACATATCGGAAGAGTTTTTAACTGGTTTGAAGAGAAAATTCAGCGAGGCGGAAGACTCACTTATTCTGACAAAGAGGTAGATTTAAAAAAAATGTCAGTTATAAAATGCAAATTTTTAATAACCCACATCTTTCTGTTTCCATCATAAATGTTACTATTTTTCCCAGAAAAAATGAGCAAAGCTATGGATATCCCATTCCAAACTTACGAAGAGGAGGAGATATTAAAGAAATTTAGGTGAGAAATCTTTAAAACTAATATGTTCAGTTTTTATGCATGTTTCACAAATACCTAAGTAAAGATCTGAAATTTTGTTTTATTTTTTTTTTAGATATAGTTAAGAATTACACTTTTGCATCAGCATAGGTTACTTTCGTACACTTTGAAAAATGATCATGGGTAACGAATAAAAACAATATCAAAAATATCTTTTGTTTTTACGTGTTTTCACATTATTTTTTCTGTAAGTTTGTTCATTACAGGAAAGGAAACTTTACTAAATATAAAGCACTGGAACGTAGAAAATTGGGAAATGGCCCCATTTCGCCGATACATGTAAGCATTGCATCAAGCCCTGAATCGACTTCCAATCCCGCATCACCAATCAACATATCGACATCTTCTTTTCAATTTCCTCCTACACCACAGGAATTTAATTCGGTATTCAACCTTCCCGCTCCTGACCATATCTTAAAACCCAATGCAAATACAACAGTACCACCACCAGTAGTCCTACCTGGAACCTCTTCTTACAATCAAACTTTAGGGGTGTATCATTTGAATTAAGGGACAGCTGAGTGCCCTTTGTGAGTTCACTGATTCCGTTCGCGTGGACTTATTACAGACTTCCATGCTGGTACATTATATTCAGGATTTTTTTAAATGTTCGAAAATATTTTCAAATGTTTAAAAAGTGAGTTACCTTCGAGTAAACGATTTAGAAATCTCTGTAATGTTGGTTTGTTGTAGAGTCGTAATGATGTGTCTTTGTTCTTTTATTGGGATATATGTAAATGAACATTAAATTATTATCAATCACATTTATAAAATGAGTATTGAAAAATGAATGAAAGTGTATTTTTTGAAAAATTAAAAAAAAATTATAAAAACAAAAAAAGGGGAAAATCATTTGGTAACAAGAAAAAGAACTAGAAAGTCTGCTATTGCAAGCAATAGCATATGTCGCCCCGTATTAGACAAGACTTTCATTTTTATCATCACTAAAACAAAAGTCCATAAGCTAAGTTTGAACAACCATTGAGTTATATCAGTCCTTTCCATTGCAAACGGAAGACCTTAATTCGGTACATCCCACTCATTATTTTTAGAATCGGTAGGAGAAGAAAGTAGTGCAGGAAAAATACAAGTTCATCAATTTGCAGACTTGCATTAAAGAAATCTGGCAGATGTACTGAACTGAGCCTCATACTTGTTAATTGGCAGTATCTTTCCTATGATAAAAGCTTGGGAAATGTAATTTATGAAGAAGATCAGCCGAATTATTTTGTGTATTGTAACGCCAGTGAGAACTCTGAAATTTCCCTCTTTCACTTTCATTTTAGAGGTTCTACCGAAAAACGAATCTGACATGCCACCATCAATTCGAGCATTTCTGCATTGCAGAGAGCTGATGTGTGTTATGAGATGATAAATCATGTGTGAACTTTCTCAGTTTAGCGGAATCATGAACATTTTCGGCGAGATGAATGTTTTGTATACAGTGGTGATCAAGGCTTTGCGAACCATCAGGAGCGGATCAAAGAATTTATGAATGAATAAAAACTATGGAAATGACGTACCAATTTTTTAATTTATACTTGCACTATCTAATGAAATGAATAATATACAAGTGATAGATATACATGAAAACGCGAAATGATAATAAATGCAGCTGACAATCGTTATTTTTTTTTATATAGATAAAATAAAATATTTATAAATTCAAGAGACAAAACAGAAGGAGAATGAATGATGGCAAAATATCACATGACGGGAACTGAATTTTATGAATGAAGATTTTAAAAAGATACTTGTAAGTTGTATATGTTATATCTGTGTATCTACTTGGCTGTGTGCTTCAAAAAAAGGGGGGTCGTCTTGAACATAGTAAATAGCCATAACGTTTGAACGGTAAGTACTAGGGCTTTCGTATTTCAAATATGTAATCCTTGTGAAAAGAACTTTTATTGGATACGACGAACTTTGACCCTTTGACCTAGACCTTGGAGAACACATGTGTGCATCTGAATCTTTTTTTCTGTTTCGTTTCTATGGCAACCGTGAGCGACTCATTACAATTATTTTGAAAGTAGAAATCACTTTGACACATTGCAAGGAATAAACATTGAAAGTTTCAAAACGATTGCCTGAGTAGTTATTGAGAAAATCGAAATTAAAGAATTTTAACTTTCACCTGGTTTCCATGGCAATAATCGATTATATGAAAATTTTAAATACGAGTTGCAGAACTACAGATACTAATCATTAAAATAAGAAAAGTTTCATGACGAACGTTTAAGGGACCAGAGAGAACACTCTCGGACAAAATTTGTCGCTTTTTACAGGTTTCCATGGCAACGGTAGACATATTGGAACTGAACGACCTCACTGCACAACTACAACCAGTGATCGTCCTTTAAGGAAAGTTTCAGGAAGATTGTCCCAGCCATCTCCGAGAAACAGCCTGGATAAAAAAACATGCGTACAATATCAATATGTCGTCCCCGACTTCGTTCGGGGCGACATAATTAATGCAGTACTCAGTAAAAGGAATGAAGCAAAGTACACTGACCAATACAGATAACAGGTACACATCTTGATCAATCAGAGTGTGTTCTCTTGCAGAATAAAACTTTAAATGAAACTTGGATTTTATATAACAATCTTGATTAGGGTGTTGAAAAGCTGCAGATTTTCAGTACAACTTTTATCAACAGCAACATTCCCATGCTGAAGCATGAGCCTGACAGCAGCTAGGTGCTTACAGGTCCCATTGGGGTCCTTTTCCTGCCGGACAATCGAAGTCACTATTTATAGCGTCTCCTGTCCTTTTGGTATCTGAGTGCAATATCTTGTGACGTATGGTGAACCGTGACGCATATCTGCCCTTTTGTCCATTTTCAGTTTATAGTTTTAAGAAACCTAAATGTAATACATTTTAAAAGGCTAGTTTCTTAAGATTACAGAATATAAAATTGCTTAATTATTTCACTTTGAATACATTCACAAACTAAATTTTTGCATATTGTCACAACCAGACTTCAATATTAGTTTCCTAAAGATACCTTATTTTTCATAGCAGCACCAACAATCCCTGTAAAGTAGATGTAATTTTCTTTCACGACAACAGAGCATGCCTGCACTCTGTTCCCTTGGAACATAACCATATTAATATTATATATGATGAATTGTATTCTGTATATTTTTTGTATTTGATATACATAGAAGGCCCTGGGGAAGAATAGTGCATGCACTAACCAGGTTACCTTCTTTAGATAAATAAATAAAGTATTTATTATCTCCTGAACAGAAAAATGCCTTCTCTCTTTAAGCATCTGAGAAAGGGAAGGAAATTACAAGTGGCTTGGATCAAGACAAGTTCATTACCAGGAACTTATCCATCACTCACTCAGTAAGTTCAGTTGATTTATTAGAGCTCATATAACTGTAAATAGAAGAGGACCAAAGGGGTCACAATTCACAGTTTTACGTGTCACTAAATTGTCACTTCTTGTATATAATCATAAGCAGTAAGGTTTAATTCCTCACTCGTATTTTTTTTTTTCATAGAAATGAATGTATATCAAAATTTACCAGTATTTACAGACACGTGTTTCATAAGAAAAAATAATCAACATCAATTTAGTTTCTGTAGTCTTTATTTTTTTTTTTTTTTTTTTTGCATTTAGTACCTACGCAGACAAAAAAATTTCTTAATAGTTTTAATTCTTAATAGTTTTAAAGAAAAAATGGCACATAAATTAACAATTTCAGTATTATGTGATTTGTCGCATAACTAAATAAAATATGATATCGCACTTTTTTATGATCAGTTTTGGCTGATGATTTTTAAAGGTATATTCTCTGAGACATGTTGTATGGAAATTAACTTGAAAAGATGTCTTTTATGGCTGTTTAAATTAGTTTATGACTTATCAAGGTATTCAAATTAAAAACTTGTTAGTCAACAGAAAATTTTTAAAGTGGCTTCGCCTTAATTATTTTTTTATTGGTTTAAACTTCTCAATAGTCTTGGAGTTGAAATCTGTGGTTAGGTTTTTAATGATGGTAAGCTTTCTAAAATTGGGTCCCAAAAACGATTACTATATTTCTCGGACATCAAAAAGCTGAAGAAATTCCATTTTGCCACCTGTGGAATGTCAGGTAAGTATTCTTAAGCCTAAAAGTATTAAACTTATTACAACTGTTAAATAATTATTGTAATTTACATAACATTTCCGATTTTCATAGATGACAGAAACACGTGAAGAGAGACGTGTTCAAGGCTAAAGGAAGAAGATCTCATGCTTGGAGAAAGTTTAATGATATAAATGACACTATCCTTATTAAACAAACTTGACCCTTACCAATAAGATGATCATGAAATTTTAAAATGTTTTCAAAGATGCGATAATGATAGACAATGGACAAATTAATTTGAAATATTTACGAGTATTCTTATTTGATTGTGATTAAAAGAAATATTTAATTTCATTCAATTCAAAAAATAAAAAAAATTATATAATACATAGTGATGAACCAGTTGAAAAGGCATCAGCAGAACATTCTTTGTGGGTTAAAAAGGTGGTAATTAACATGTTAAATATTTCATTCAACTATTTTTTAAAATATATTTTTTCAAATGTGTATTAAAAAAATATACATGTACGTTGCAACTTGAACTTAAAATTTACAAAAAAATTATTTTCATTGTTGAAGATGATAACAGAAAAGGGAATAATTAAATACCCCTTATTGCAGTCCTCCTCTGACACGATGATAGTGAATAGGTATCTTCACCTCCTCAACGTAGAATACAGCGAGGTAAAATAAATTTTTTAGAACTTAATATTTAAGATCTTTCGTTTCCAAGGGAAAACCTCCTGGTTCTGATGGTTAAAATTTTTTTGACATATTTGAAGTCAATATTTTTCTATATTACGACTCATATATTTTAATAGCATTTCACACAAAAATTAATTAAAAATCTTATTTCATTTTAAAAGTTATTAAAACTTCAAAATTTTTGGCGGGTTTGATTGACAAAATTGTTTAAATTATGACCCTTGGGGATAGGGCAGAAACACAGTAGGGAATCCAAGTTTTACGAGGGTTGTCCCAAAATCCGTAGATAAGCGTTGTTTTGTAGGAACCCTATGTCATACATTAATGAATCTTCGTATATAGATTAAACCAACACTATCTAATAAATTTATGGACAAATATGGAGTAACTGCATAAATTATTCCAATTTAAAAGACACATTTCATTATCTGGTTTAGGTAGGCGGCGCAATACCCAAGAGTTGCAATTAAAATTTGGTATATTATATTTAAAGCATAGGCGTCGGAACCGGGGGGGGGGGGGGGCTAGGGGGGGCTTAGCCACTTTTTTTCCAAATATATACTTAGTATAGACATTGAACATATCTTCGTAAGTTTAGCCCCCCACTTTCAACAGATACGTCTTAGTATAGGTTAAAATTGGGAAAAGTGTTGGTGTTTGGAAGAAAATGTTTGGATTTTCGTGTTTGGGAAAGACATTTCCTTTTTTTTTTTTTGCTTGTC